GAACCTCAATACAGTTTTCCATAGTGGCTGCACTGGTTTGCGTTCCCACCAAAAGTGTAAGAGTGTTCCCCTTTCTCCATATCCCTGCCAACACCTGTTGTTTCCTGTGTTAATTTTAGCCATTCTGACTGGTGTGAGTTGATATCTCATTGTAGTTTTGATTTGTGTTTCCCTGATGATGAGTGATATTGAGTATCTTTTCCTGTGTGTTAGCCATCTGGACATCTTTGGAAAAAATATCTATTCGTGTCTTCTGCCCATTTTTTAATGGTATTATTTTTTGGAGGGTGTTGAGTTTTATAACTCTTTTTATATATTTTGGATACTAACATATTAGCAGATATGTCATTTGCAAATATCTTCTCCCATTCCTTAGGTTGCCTCATAGTTTTGTTGATTATTTCCTCCACTGTGTGGAAACTTTCTATTTTGATGTAGTCCCAATAGTTTATTTTTTCTTTTGTTTACCTTGGCTCAGGAGACATATCTAGTAAGAAGTTCCTATGAACTATGTCAAAGAGGTTACTGCTTATATTCTCCTCGAGGATTTTAATGTTTTTTTTTGTCTCACAATTAGGTCTTTAATCCATTTTGAATTTATGTTTGTGTATGGTGTAAGAAAGTGGTCTCGTTTCATTCTTTTGCATGTATAGCTGTCTAGTTTCCCTAATACTGTTTGTTGAAGAGATTATCTTTTTCCCATTGTGTATTATTTCCTGCTTTGTTGAAGATTAATTGGCCATATAATTGTGGGTCCATTTCTGATTTTTATTCTGTTCCATTGATCTATGTGTCTATTTTTATGCCAGTACCATACTCTCTTGATCACTACAGGTTTGTAATATAACTTAAAGTCTTGAATTATGATGCCTCCAGCTTTGCTTTTTCTTTCTCAAGTTTGCTTTGGCTATTTGAGATCACTTTGGGTTCCATATAAATTTTAGGATTGTTTGTTCTAGCTCTGTGAAAAAGGCTGGTAGTATTTTAAAAGGGATTGCATTAAATGTGTAGATTGCTTTGGGTAATATGGATATTTTAACACTATTTGTTTATCCAGTCCATAAACATGGAATATTTTTCTGTTTCTTTGTGTCATTGTTATTTATTTATTTTTAAAGATTTTATTTATTTATTTGACAGAGAGAGACACAGTGAGAGAGGGAACACAAGCAGGGGGAGTGGGAGAGGGAGAAGCAGGCTTCCTGCTGAGCAGGGAGCCCAATGTGGGGCTCAATCCCAGGACCCTGGGATCATGACCTGAGCGAAAGACAGATGCTTAATGACTGAGCCACCCAGGCAGGTGACCCTTGTGTCATCTTTAATTTCTTTCATTAGCATTTTATAATTTTAAGAGTACAAATATTTTACCTCTTTGGTTTATTCCTAGGTATCTTACAGTTTTGGTGCAATTATAAATGGAATTGATTCCTTGATTTCTCTTTCTGCTAATTCATTGTTGGTGTATACAGATGTAACAGATTTCTATAGGTTGATGTTGTATCCCGTGACTTTACTGAATTAGTGTATCAGTTCTAGCATTTTTTGGATGGAGTCTTTTGGGTTATCTATATAGAGTAACATGTCATCTACAAATAGTGAAAATTCAATTTCTTCCTTGCTGATTTGGATGCCTATTATTTCTTTTTGTTGTCTGATTGCTAAGGCTAGGACTTCCATTAGTATGTTTTCATATATAGCCTTTCTGATGTTGAGGTATGTTCCCTCTAACCCCACTTTGTTGAGGGTTTTTTTTTTTTTTATCATGAATGAATATTGTACTTTGTCAAGTTCTTTTTCTGCATCTATGAAAAGAATCATGTGATTCTTATCCTTTCTTTTATTAATGTGGTGTATATTATTGATTGATTTGTGAATATTATACCACCCTTGCAGCCCAGGAATAAATCCCACTTAATTTTACCACATAACTTTTGAATGCTTTAACCATGGGGCAAAGTTTCACTGAATAGGAATTTAAGACATTAAATATAAATTCAGTTTTTCTAACACTGAAGCCTCACAGCCAAAAGAGAAGATTATGTAAGTGAGAGGCAATTCAGACAAAGGTCTTGCAAGAACATCAGCAGTCCTAGCTATTATACCTAGGGCATCTTAAGTCCATACAAATAGACAATTTGCTTCTATTTTCTATGAAGTTGAGAAATATGGCTAAGTTCTTCAGACTACTGTTCTCCTTATCATTCTTTCCCATAATGTCAGAATCTTGCAAGAGTCAGGTTATTCTCAAGGAATTAAATTGGCATAAAAGCAACTCCTCTCAATAGTATAACCAAATATTCACTCACAGAATTTTTGCTTCCCAACCTGAAAGCCTTGAGCTCTGTTTGTTTGGATACCTTACTCCCCAAGAGGGAATTTTTCCCCTAGAGGAGCACAATATTTATTCCACTGAAGCACAAGATGAGACTGTCCCTGTCAAGCTTTATGCCAGTAAACCAACAGACAGATAAAGGGGCTACTCTACCAGCCAGAGTGATTAATTCTGATTACCCAGAGGACACTGTGTTGCTGATATACAATGAAGAAAAGGAGGACTATCTATGTCTGGCACCCAAGTGGTTCTAAGAGACACCTCTTAGTACTTTAATATGCAATACTAAAGGTAAACAAATGAATGAATTAATGAACAAAAGCAGTATTACTGAGGGCCAGACCATTCAGAAATAAAAATTTGGCTCATTTCATCAGGTAAAGAACCTCAAATAGCTGAGATTCTGGCTGGTGCAAAAGGAAATATGGAATGTATAATCAAAGAGGAAAGTCACAGCTATCAAATGTAGTGACTACAATATAGTGTGCCTGGCAAATAAATATCTGTCTTATACTAAAACAAACAAACAAATGCTACCGTCTACAACATAAAAATAAGAAGTGTAGTACTTTCACATTGTCTCTTTGCTTGTATTCATATTGGCATCTGTATTAGGTTTCTTCTCCTGCTGTAACAAATCATGACACACTTGGTAGCCTAAAATAACACACGTTAATTACCTAACAGTCATGGAGATCAGAGGCCTGAAAAGAGTCTCACTGGGATAAAATCAAAGCATCATCTGATTTAATTTGTCCTGGAAACTCAGGGGAGAATCCATCTATTTACTTTTCTTTTCTAGCTTCTAGAGGCCACCTGCATTCTTTGTCTTGTTACCCTTTTTCTTTATCTTTAAAGCCAGCAATGTTGCATCTCTCTAACATTGTCCCATAGTCATATCTTCTTCTGAATCTCCTCTTCTGCCTCCCACTTCTACTTTTAAGAAGTCTTGTGATTACATTGGACCCTCTTGGATAATCCAGGGTAATCTTCCCATCTCAAGGTCCTTACTTTAATCACATCTGCAAAGTCTGCAGATTCTGGGAATTAGGATGTAGACATCTCTGGTGGAGCTTTACTCTGCCTACCACAGCATCTATTATGGGCCTTGTATAACCCAACCCATTTTGTTCAACTCTTAGTCCTCTATCATTTCATATGGAGGCCACAAAGTAAAATATGTTTGTTTTTATTTTTGTTTTTAACTCAAACCATTCTTGTAGGAACTCAGACATTTTCCTGAATCCTAGAATTCATTTTCTCATCTCCAGATGGTTTACATAGGTTTTTGGCTTGTCTGGAGATTTCTGTGAGTATATGCATGTATGTTTTGTGCTCTGTCATAGAGAGGGGCAGATCAAGAATGAGAAGGGTTTGCAGTGCCATAAAGGATCTCAACATGTATACAATAGATGTGACAATGAACAATACAGAAGGCAAGATATAACCAGGCAAAAATCATTTGACTAAGAGCCTGAGTTTAAATCCCAGTAAGAGTACTTGTTTACTAGTTGTGTATCCTTTGGAAGAATGATGGTTAAATTTATGTGTCCACTTGGCAGGGACACCTGCCAATTTTTTGGTCAAACACCAATCTACCTGTTGCTGTGAAGGTATTCTTTTTAGAAATGATTAACATGTAATTTAGCAAACTTTGAGTAGATCAGATCAACCTCCATAATGTGGATGGGCCTTAACTAATCATCTGAAAGCCTTAAGAGAAAAGATTGAAGTTTCCCAATGAAGAAGGAATTCCACCTTTAAACTGTCTTTGGACTCAAAATTGCTACATTAACTCCTGTCTGAACTTCTAGCCCACTGACCTACCCTGAAGATTTAGGATTGACAGTATCTACAATGGTGTGAGCCAATTCCTAAAAACTTCTAAAATAAATCTCTTGATAGATGGATAGAAATATTCTTTAGAGAAATATACACACACATGTGCACACAAGCGCACGCACACACACACACAAATATTATTGATCCAGTGAGGAGGCAAAGTCTTTTTTTTTTTTTTAAGATTTTATTTATTTATTTGACAGAGAGAGGCACAGCGAGAGAGGGAACACAAGCAGGGGGAGTGGGAGAAGGAGAAGCAGGCTTCCCGCCGAGCAGGGAGCCCGATGTGGGGCTCGATCCCAGGACCCTGAGATCATGACCTGAGCCGAAGGCAGACGCTTAACGACTGAGCCACCCAGGCACCCCTCCATGATTACTTTTAAAAATAACTGAGACTACACTACTATATTATACATAGTCAGGTACACTGCTGTGCACAGGCAATTCCAGTTATTGTATTTTGTTCGTTGGTCAGCAACAGCACAAACTTTATCTACAAAAGGAATATATCAATCCAGCAAAATGGTTACCTCTAATTTTCTTTTAAAGACAAATTAACTAAATTTAAGGAAGAATTGCCTTTTTCAAATTACTGCTACAAACTTACCATAGAATAATTACGTATTTTGCCCAATATCAACCTGCAAAAGGTTTCCCAACATAGATGCATTTGTTCAGTTTTCAAAAATAAATAAAGGTTTTCTACCTGAAAGCATTTTACATTCCTAGCTCTTTAAATTAAACATTAAAACACAAAGTACAAAAAATGATCTCCCCACTTCTGAAGAGCCCACTTAGTTATATAAACTATTTTCTTTCCCAACACTTTTTCAGATTCAAAAGAGATTTACTTCGTAAGAACAGGACAGATCTTCAATTCAAACCATTTAGTCCGTTTCCATGGCAACACTGGGGGATTCCTTGGCTACCATAAGTCTCATTAGTTGACTGTGGAATTTCTCAATCTTCTTTACGTCTTGGGCTTGGTCTGTTCTATACACCAAACAAACTAAATCATCTGTTACTTTAATACACAAACTCCCATCAGAATGCCTATATTTGAGAACCACACGGGCCTTCATAGGGTCGGCGAGGTAGAGTTTCTTGGCCGCGCGACTGAACTCCTCCCAGGTCTGATACTGCGGCATCGTGGGTTGGCAGCGGAGCGCGAGCGGGCGAGGCCGGGGACCGCAGGCGGTGAGACCCGGCCCACCTATCACCTACCTCTGGCTGCCGGAGACCCGAGGCAGAGTCTTCTATCTAGCATGCCTTGGATATCCTAACTGATGATTCAGCATGGTTATCTCCAGGAGTCAGGAGATAAATTTGAATTTATCTAGAATTTAATGAGTGTCAGAATCCAGATCCACCTGATGCAGAGACCCATGCTCTCACTTTTACATTAAGCTTCACATTCCCTGCACTGTGCCTGTATGAAGATATTAAGACTAGAAAAAGAATGAGATGAAGACTTGGTATGGGAGACTTATTTCCCTGGTCCCATTAACTGACATGTGCAATATTCATTCAAACTGAGCAGTGGATACAGCAAGAAGAACAGGGGGGTCTTGGACAGGAGAGACCACTGAGCTTCTGACTCTCTCAACATGCCCAATGTTTCCTTGGTGAGCACTGATTAGTGACACAGCAGGCAATAACCTCATGGAACCCATCTGTAGCATCCTAACATACTGTGGCCAGGAGCCAAGGGCACTTCTGCTCCACTGAGGCAATAGAAATCCCACAGGGTTCAGAGTTTTTGTTCAACCATAAGCATTTCCCAGGGTGAGGTGACCAGGGCCAACTGCACAGACACTTGAAAATGAGAGATGAGCCATACTTGCCCAGAGACTGTGAGCAGCTGCATTTGGAGTGGCAGGCTCAGCCCTAAATTCTGTTTAAAATACAGCTGAGACAGATCACAGAAGTTAATTTAAACAGATGTTTATAACACTGAAGCTTCTCTCTCACACTGGAAGATCAGCAACAGTGTGTGGGGAGACCACCTGTGCTCCCCACTACCACTACTTGTTTACTAGTTACATCAGGAGAAAACAGCCTTGAAAATGAATGTGAAGTGTTTAGATTTGCCAAAGGAAGTCTTTCTGGGTGTGGTTAGTCAGGAGAAACATTGTTCAGGAAGAGAGAGTGTCTCCTTAGTTACTCCCATATAATCTTATAAGGAGCTTTGTGGGAGAAGACTAGGAAAGACACTCCCAGGAATGCATTGCAAGACCACACCAGGCCTTGTGCAGGGTAGTTTATGAGAGATTGCTCCCCTTAATCCTGGCAACAGTGCTGAAGGAGCAGACTCTGATCCTCATATAGAGATGATAAAAGTGGAGACCATGAAGGTGACTGCACAAGGCAGCATAATAATACAAATAAGCAAAGGAACTGTTAATTCGTATATAGCTCTTACTCTTGGACAGGTACTCCTCTAAGCAGGAGCAGTCCTAAAGGCAGGAGACAAGTGGTGGTTTCCAAGTACAATGTGGGTATTATTACTTGATCACCCCTCTAGAACAAGTTAGCCTCACTGGATATGTTTCTTACCACCCCCCCACACACACAGTGGAAAATGTGAATGAACTAGAAATGTTGCTGCACTAAACTCTAGGACACTTTGAGTAACAAACAATTCTACTCAGGGAACTCTCTTTTCCCCAAATAGAAGGAGGAAAACTTCTCCTTGTTCTGCTAGGGCCTTGGTTCCTGAGGAGACACACAGAAGCCAACAGGGGTGAGGTCAGCTGGCAGCAAGGTCAACAACCACCCATTGTCTCTGGCCCATGGCAGTACTAGTACCAAGAATAAGTCTTAAAAGACCAGTGATGAAGAGAAGGTGCATACCCAGCAGTTAGGGATGCTTTTAGCAGCTGGTAATAGAACCATTGGTCAACAGTAACTTTAAAATACCCAAATATATGCAATTCTTATGCATGGCTTCTTTGTTCACAATGAAGGTGCCATGGCCCTGGGCTTTACACCCACCATCAAGGCAGGGAGAAGTTGAGAGAGAATGAACTAGTAGTAAGCAACTGAATCTGGCCTTTTGTTAAGAAAGCAAATGTTTTCCTAGACACACAGCAAATTTTCGCTGACATTGATGAGCGTTGGGTCACAGGGTCAACCCTGGCTATGAATGTATGTGACTTCCTAGGCTTTACAGTGTGAGGTGCTGGGGATGTGGGGGCTGAGAACAGAAGGTAGGCAGCCAATCAAAATCTCTAGACACTCCCAGGAAAGTTCGAAGAAAGGAGATAATTGCAAAGGGTTGAACTTCTGTTAGCCAAGGGAAGGTGGGAGGGGGAAGCTGAATTTCAACTTGAATATTACCTCATTTGCCTCCCCCAACTAGTATCTACCTTGTGATCCCTGCCGGCAAGCCAGTTCTCATCTTCTTTAAGGTTGGGCCCCTCCAGGGCATTAGAAGGAACAGCACTTCCATGCCTCCCTTCCCTCATTTCCTCTCCCACCGTGATACATTATTGCTCAGGATCCCCTCACCTGGCACTTAGATCTCTACATAAGACTTCCCATTGCTTTTCTCATGTCCAGACTTGCACATACAAATCTACCCTTCACACTATGTCTGAGTGGATCTATCTACAATACAGAGTTGACCGTGTTACCTCATTACTTAAATATCTTACCCCTACCTCCTTGAGGACAAAATCCAAGCTCCCTGGCAGGCACCCAGGCCCCTGGCATGCCCACCTTCTCCTTCAGTCTCAGCACTCACCATTGTGTACTCTCCCTTTATGCTGTGGATGTGCTTATTGTTCCTCAAACATGCTATGCAGAGAGCCCAGGCTTTGGTGCTGCCCTGTCTGGGATTGAAACTTGGCTCTTCCCTTACTAGCTATGTGACTGTGGGCAAGTATTTAAACTTCCAGTGCTATAGATTTTGCAACCATTAACTGGAGATTTTATTTTTTTGACTTATTTTGCAGATTAAGCATATTAGTTTATGTAAGACACTTAGGAAAAGTTTTCCACATAAAAAGCATGCAATATTAGATGTCACTATTTCACACTGCTGTGGTTTTGCCCATGCAGTTCTCTTACTTGGAGAGTCTCCTTGTCTGATTAACTCCTGCTCTAAGAATAAGGGCAGAGTACAGTTTGGCTTCAGTTGGATCAGGGTTTGAATTTCAGTTGTACCTGATACTAGTAAAATGATCTTGAACATCAATGGCAACAGCCATAAAATGAGAAGAATAAAAATTCCTAACCCGTGGGTCCATGGTGGGAATAAAATGAGAAAAGGTGTTTTTAAACACTTAGCTCAGTGTCTGACCCACACCAAGGGCTCAATAAATGTTAACTACTATTGTACTTATTAACACCTTTGAAGACTCAATGCAGGTATCTTCTCCAGTATTTCTCTTACCCCAATGGTGCATCCCTTATCTTCTGCAGGTTTTCTCTAACCCCAATGGTTTCATCCCCTTTTCTATAATGAGAGTGCCCTGTAGAGAAGCTGTTGTTATATTCTAATGAAAGGGTCTATATGTTTGGCTCTTCTACCATATTGTGATACCTCCAGGGCAGAGAACCTCAATCTTCAATTCTGGTAGATCTAGCAGTTTGTCTTTTTTTCGGCTAAACCAAACTGAATTTCTCCATCAACAGCATGTTAATATTTTGATCAAGTGAGACATTTCATTTTAGAAGGTAGAAATATTAGAAAGAGTGATCTTTTTGAATAATGGCTCACTTCCTTTGCTTCTAGATCTTTAAAAAAAACCAAGACATCGTTTTGGTATGAAGCTCAGGGATGGGCAGATTTCTATGTACCTCTCAGAACTGATACCATTCATTAGACTGTGACTGTACTGATAAAATAAATAATATGTAAAACATATTTAGTATTTGCTTGAAAAGCATCCCATTGTTTCGGTTTCTTTATAGAAACCCACACAGATCATCACTCATTATAGAGTCAATATAAAGTCTGGAGGTATGTGTGTAATTTTTTTTTAGACAAACACAAGATAATTTGTACAATTAAATCCATTGCCTCCCCTTCATTTCCCCTGTGTGGGTCACTGTCATGACCATTTGGGGACCAGCCCCCTTGGAATTGCCCTCATAAGTACATTAATTCCTATCTTCAAGCAAAGTTTTGATTTTTGATGGGGTATTTGCTTTTGGGAAGCAGTTAAAATCATCTAGTACCAAATCAAATAGTGCTGGTGATGAAACTGCTAAAGATAGACATAGGTCAAAGTGGTCACCACGTGATGTGACTGGTCTCCACATGTAGCTCTTAAATACTATTGTAAGCTTCCCTGACAGAAGGTCTGGAATGGGGGTCAGAGTTGAGTAGAAGAAAGTAAATTGGCCACAGATGGACTGAGTTAGAAGCCCAGACCTGCCACTTAGGATTGGGATGACTTTGGGAAACCCTATTTTCTCCATCTTAACAGTGGGGATGACATTACTCTCCTTGCAACATCATAAAATGAATTAGAGATAAATGTATTCAAATGTCTACCATGCATTGGTGCTAAACATAAGTGAGTGATTATCAACTAAAAAAATGTTACCAGTGACCTCATCATTGAGATTAAGTATTTAATCTTCCAAAGGACTCTTCTTAAATATACCATATACTTAGCTATAATATTCATTTAATCTTTGACTTAATATTTCAACAAATATATATTGAGAACTTATTTCACATCTAGCACTGATTTAGGGTAGGATACATACAATCTTTCATGAAATTAACAAATTCCCTGTCCTCTTATAAACAAAATAATATAAAAAATAGTGTCAGCCAGTGATATCAAGAAAAATAAAGTAGAATAAGGATGACAGAGAGTAACATTAGAAGAGTTGTTATTTTATAAAAAGGTAGTCCAGGAAGGCTTCTCTAGGCAAGTGAAATTTGAGAAAATTGAGGGAATTAATAGAGATAAGCCATAGAGACCTCTCAGAAAAGAAGGTTCCAGGTCAAGTGAATAGCAAGGACAAAGTTTTGAAAATGTTGCTTTATAATCAAGGGCTGGACAGATGAATGGATGGGCAGTTGAATGGATAGATGGATATGGAATTGGAGAAACTCATCAATGATCACACTTTTCTAGTATTTCTAATATGCTTTTCCAAGTCTCTAAAGGTTCAAGACTTGAGATCGAAAAAAAGATGGTGGAGGAGTAGGGGACCTATTCCAACTGGTCCCCGGAATTAAACTGGATATCTACCAGACCACTCTGAACACCCAC